AAGAGCGTTTACATCATAATACGTAAATTATACTAGACACTATAGTGCGGTTTTATAGGATATATTATACGTTCATATTTTATTTTATGTTATCAGGTGGGTTGACAGACGAGTAGATATCAGCTGTGCTCGAATCGGATCAAAATACTTCAGTGTTTGACGTATATCAAATATAAATGTTTCAAAAAAAATATATTAATTTTCTAACCAATATCGACTTTGAATCAACGATATTTGATTCGCGAAACCATTAATCGTTCTAAATTTCCCAACGATCCAAAATGCTCCAAGTGTACGCATTTGGTTGCAAATAATTTTAATAAGACTTTCTAGGAAGTATACGGGCGCAGACCACGTGTAATAGTTAAGTCGTACGGTTTTAGACGCCACACTCAATAATGACACGGTAATAATGGTATATGTAGCAGAGTTTTTTTTGGAGTGTATGGGAATCTTAACGAGTGAACATCGCCCCGATCGAAGTAAAGTAATTCCGAATTCTCGTCGACCATAGTACTGTACATATATTCACGTGTTATAAACTTATTAGGTATAAAACATATAGTACGCCGATAAGAGGCGATGAGTATCCATATAACACTACAGCGTGCAGGATTGTATAGTGTAAAACGATAATTATTTTATTGTTATATACTAGTACGTAATATGCAATACCATTGAGCATAGATAGTTATAGATGCTATCTATACTCAATGGTAATACATATATATATATATATATATATATTATATGTAAGATTACATTCCGAAAGTCTGCGCCTTATAGCGCGTGCACTCTGTGTACTCTGCACAGTATAATATAATTACAGGTCATATATATTATATATGTGTGTGTGTGTGTGTGTGTGTGTTATACCGGAAATAATGATATTGGACGAATTATTGGATTAAGTCGAAATAACCTAAGTGGTTCGCTGTAATGCGGTTTCGTGACCACCGAAAGTGTTGGGCGTTTTCACTTCATATTATTCGTCCTCTAAGTACTTACACAGACACGATGTGAAGATAGCTCCACAAACTTCATCTATTCAACGCAATAACGTTCGATGACGTACATGCTATAGGTAATTAAATGAACACGTCCGATAAGTGTGTTATAGATACATGCTCTCGCACACACACCCAGTCCCATTATACACGTGTATATTATATTGTTATACTTAATAGATTGCATATGGAGGGCTCGTCATCCCTCGCTCACGATAGCCGGTCCGTTTCATTAGCGGTCCATTGAAATCGAGACCTATAATATGTCCTATATAATAATATAATACTTATATTATCTCCCCTCCCCCACGAGACGAGTTTCCGAACATCGTTTTTCTCCTTTTCGTCCTTCCGATAACCCGCGGGCTTACCTATACTATAGTATTATTATCATCGTCGTGTGTGCTATAGGTACACATATATATTATTATTATTATTATTAGTAGTAGTAGTAGTAGTGGTATTGTGGCTGCATAGACGTCGAGAACAATTACCGGTAATTATTATAAACACCATGCCGACGATAGATCCATATCTTTATTCGTTGAGGGGTGTTCTTCTCTTCGTAGTGTATAGAGTTATAGGTACATATTTTATACACGTATAATAATAAACCACTATTGTAGTAGACGATAGTGTTTTGAATTATAACATTATAGTCTATTATCATCGACATATTGTATACCTACTATAGTGTATATATATCGATATCAGAAAAAGATTACTACCCCTAGGTGACTTGTCGTGGCTAATATAGCTGCATTTTTTCTAGGATGTCGTTATTTATTTTAAGCGAAATGATTATTATAAACATACCTTATACTTGATATAATAAATATATATTCAAATATAGGTACATATTTACTTCAGGTAATCGTCTTTCTAACAATCGTGGGAAATGAAACACGAATACAATATTTATTTTGGAAAATAATAATCAACGAAAGGTCTCAAATAATTATTCTTTGTCGCGAGCTAAGAAAAACCAAGACGGAAAGTAGGTCACCGCTCTACTGAACAGGAGGTCCCGAGTGTACCTGTCATCGAGGAAGTCGCTGTAATGTATATGTACAATTTTAATTAAATGATAAATTCGGATCGAAGACGATCTGACAGACTATATTATTAAGTGTTGAGCGTATTTCATGAAATATATTTTTCGATATGACTATTAATAAGTAATTTATTTCACTATTAGATATAATTACACGGTATCAACCGTTTCAATTTTTACCGAAAACATTGCACTGTATGATAACAAAATTATTAATATTGTATCTCACAATTGTATCATTTCCACACGCAAGTCTGCTTTGGTCGACTGTATAATTTTTTCTGACCAATCTAAATCCGCTATAACAAAATAATATATGTATATATTATTATACATTATACGAGCACCTGCAATGTGCAGGTTATCAACAATTTATTAAATACAACCGCAACTAAACGCCTACGCTATAAATCGCACTATATGATGATGCGATGACATAATATGAGTGTATAATATTATAATAATATATAACGCGTAATAGCCGGGTGATCGTAATTATAGTGTATATTATGTACATATTGTTATAGTGCGTGCACGCTAAAAGGTCCGGATGTGAACGAGGAGAAAAAAATGAAAAAAAATTGCGGCTAACGGTCGGTGGTCCTGTATAATACGCATGATGTATGCTGCCTACCTCTAATCGTAACGATGACGATTGGACAATATATATGTATGGCCATATAGGTATATTGTATAAATATGAATAACAATAATTGACAGAAAATCGGGTCTATTCACTTGTGAATGGAAATGATTTCTCTTTTTGTTGTTTTTTTTTTTTTTTTTTGTTTATCCGACAAAAAGTCAGTTAGACCCACTGGGATACTCGATGGGAGGTTTGTTTTGTGAACGGAGACCACACTGGGTGCAACGGGAACGCTAGTTCAAAGGCAAAACGAATAAAAATAATAATAATAATATATAATATAAGCTCATACATACATACAAAATATACTAACTACCATAATAGTTGGAAATTTTTATTTGTACATATATTATTACGGGGGAATGGGTAATAAGGAAATTTATCTTACATTTAAAAGTGAAATATACCGAATATCGACGTATTATTAGTTATTACATATTATTACACACGTATATTATCGCAAACGTCATTGAGGCCGATTATCTGGATTAAACATTATACCTACTATTATTTAAGAATATTATGAGTGCATTATAATATAGGTACTATACCTATATATTATGTAGAGTTAATACTTGAAAAAACAATTTACCTCATCACCGTGTAATTTATTTTTCGGCAAATATTTTATAGTTACGTAATTACATTGTAAAATGTAGTCTTAAAGACATTTGTTTTATTTTTTTTGACACAATGAATTTGTAATGAATTTTTATTTGTTTACGCGCGTTATTATACTTGATAAACCTATATTTGAATAGTACCTATACCTACAAGACAAGATTTAGAATTTTGATGGCCCAGGCCTAATAAAGTTGAAGGGCCGTAGATTTTGTAAACATTTTTTCATTTTCCCTTCAAATTGTCTATACTAAAATTCAACATTTCACATTGATTGTTTACAAATAAATAAAAATACGATTTTCTTTATATTACCTTGAAATCGTGCAATAATTGCTGATGTCGATCAGTAAAAAAAAAACTTTAAGTAATTTTGTGGGGTCTCCAAAAACCCTGAGAATTTTCACTTATTGCCCTCCGTTATTTCCGGAACTGAGAACCTACCAACATAGTTTAAAAGTTATAGGTAAGTGATAACAGGAAAATAATAATCATTCATAATGTTTACATTCATTTAGATATTTTGTTAGCATTTAAGTAAGAAATTCTAAAAGACTATAAACAGTTATTTTATAGTTCAATTGTTTATTCAATTATTTATGATTATTGAAATACTAAACAAATTATCAACAGTACCTATAATACCTATCTATGTCAAAATTATTATATATTTTACTATCAAAATCGTAGGAACGAGAATGTATAATATACAATGTTAAAGTTAGATTAATTTATTAATTCATACTGATACTCGATGATAAGAAAATGGATATTCAAGAATATATTACATCTATTAGTATGGAAAATATATTTAGTGTTATATATAGGTATCATTAGCTGTCAGACGATGAAAGTGATGAGGAGGATATATTTCTGCCCTCTCCGTAACCTTTTATTCAATATTTATAATTATTTATACATAGGTGTAAAATGGTAACAATAAATTATATTTCTAATGATGGAATAGTGTATTTTAAAGAATCAGCCACCTCCCCCCCCTCCATGACAAATTAATTTGAACGCCCCTGATAGGTATATTCTGTATGTTTACAGGTTACACTGTTTACAGATTACTGTTTACCCATTACAGAAGTACATAATTATCAATTGCATTCTTTATAGTATTCTAAAAACAGTGAAAATTAAATGTTTCAAATTATTGACTATTTTCTATTAGTTGATCGAAATTCAGCAATGCATTATCTATGAATTATATTACTTTGTATTTTTTAAGTTTTGTAATTTACCTAAAAAACTATCATAAATAGTTATTAAATTTAGATATTACTGAACCTATAACCATATATTATATAATATGTCAAGGAACACTTAGTAATTTTTTTACTATTATAATATAACAATCATGAGTTAAGCTAATATTGACATTCGGTAATACAATGTTATATAGGTAACTGTCATAAAACAGGGTAATATAATACGATGGTATCTATCTAGTATAATATAATATTATGTTATTTAGACCAATAAAGATAAATATGGTTTAGACATAAAATCGGTAATCATCTATTATAATAATTATAAGCTTAAAACATATATATATGTTGTATAGATATATATGTACACGACTCCTATTTGGATTAGCTATTCCATTTGTGGCTGTCCACACACGTCGTCACATCGTAAACTGTTGTAATTTAGTTTTAATGTCAAAATGTTAAAAATAATTATTTTTGTTTCTTTGTTCGTCGCCCATACATTTGTGTCCGCAGAGTACATATTCAAAGGATTTGACGATAAATTCCAACCGGATTGGTGGCAATCGGATATTATCTATCAAATTTACGTTCGTTCTTTTAAAGACAGTAACGGCGATGGAATCGGAGATTTCAATGGTACGTACAGTGTATTATTTTGTACTTGATGATACAATAATACATTCATACGCGAGTTTTCAAGTATTTGAAAAATAAAAATTATAAAAAAAAGGATCTTAAAATTCTAGTAAATCAAATTTAACCATTTCTATATTTTCTACTTTAATTTGTTTATCGAGTTGCAGTGGTATTATTAAAACTAAGGTTGTCACGATTCTTACACGAAAATTTGAATTAATCTAAAGAAAATATAAATACTGTTTGGTAATTTTTTTATTTTATTGATTTTTAATCGAGTGGGTAAGTATTTCAATTGGAATAAAAATTTGAATTTTTAAAACTTTAAAAGTTTGTGGTAAATAGGAAAAAAATATAAACGTAATTCAGTAATAATAAGTTGGTGGGTAAATAAGTAAGGTTTAATATAATATATAATAATGAGGTAGATCTGAATTATATACCCAAGTGGTATAATGATTTGAAACCAGAAAAACGTCAGACCATAAAACTCCATTTTTTAACTTTTATTTTAAACCACGAGAGCCAAACATTTGATTGATAGTTCGTTAAATAAAGGCGATAGTCTACTAGATACAAAAGATGAAATTTAAAAACTAAATAACTTTTTAACTGTTAAAAAAAGCGAATTTTAGTTAGATTTTTCTATATCAACGCAGATCTCTGAAATAGGAGAACGGATTTTGTTGTTCAATATGTCTTGTCATATTGACTAAGATAAGTGCAGTGAAGATTTTCAATATTTTATCTTTGATAACTCTATAGACTATAGACTATACACACCTTTAAAGTTATACAACATCAACACGCATACACAGTACACACATTTGTGTATAGATAAAACGAAATACCAAAGGTGAAAATTTGTTTACGATTTTAAGAAGGCCAAAAAGTACGAGCTGAGTTCCATAAGAGTTATACAACAAAAACAACTAAAAAAGGTTAGGTGTTTAGCATTTTAGAGACGGATCACTAAGATTTTGTATATCTACTCGAAAGAAAAAATGCGTTCAGGTTCAGACAATTTTCCATTTCGAGCACTACCTAAGTACAATGTGGTTTAATCCTATTGTAATAAAAATATATATACATAATATAGTTAATAATAAACAAAAAATTAAAAATCAAGAAAGTGTACATACTTGGAAAGCGTTTTTATCTAGTGAATGTCAAAACAAATAGTTTTTGGAGATGTTATTGTTTAAGCCTTTATTGTTTACCTTAAGTAGGCAGAAATACCTGCACTTAGAGAAATATTTTCATTGTCAGGCATCATCAAATAATTTTCATACAATATTGTTTTTAACTTCAAAATATATTATTCTATAAAAAAATAAACAAGTAGTTGTGAATGTTGAATAAATCATTTAGTACCAATTGTCACCTCAGTATTCTTGTTTTCAATTCTATTTGTTCAAACCCAGTTTATAAAATAATAAAATCCACTTTCCTTGGGGACGATAATACTTGAGGTATTATATAGTATTAGTAGATGGTATTACTTACATAATTGTATTACTGAATTTATCAAGTTTTCAAAAATAAAAAATGTAGTCATTATCAACAAAATAATAATACTTCCACAGTTTAGTAAATTAATCAAAAATATGTATTTTCAAAATTTCAAAATTTAAATTATGATTTTTTATTTAAAAAAAATATTAAAAACATAATTGTTTTTAAATGGAGTTACCTACTCATACCTAATAGTAGGTAAACAAGACGTTTCGTTTCGTTTTTATTAAATATCACTGTTTTAAGCACGTCTTAATTATAACTATTTAATAAACGTACAAAATACTGTAAATAGTACAAGTTTTACTGTATTTTATTGTACGACTCAAATGTTGTAACAGAATATTTTTAAATTTTAAATTTGATTGGTAACTAATATGTTTTTTTTTATAGGTATTACGGAAAAAGTGGATTATTTTAAAAGTATAAATGTAGGAGCGGTTTGGTTATCTCCAATATTTCAATCTCCACAAGATGATTTTGGTTATGACGTGTCAAACTTTAAGCAGGTGGACCCATTATTCGGTACCATGGCGGACTTTGACCGGCTGAGGGATGCATTCCACCAAAGAGGTACGTTTATGATTGGTGTCTACGGTTGGTGTTTGAACAAGAAGTATTATTAACTTGATTGATTTAAAGGTATAAAAGTAATATTGGACTTTGTGCCAAACCACACAAGTGACGAACATCCGTGGTTCATCAAATCTGTACAGCGTAAAGAACCTTACACGAATTACTATGTGTGGAAAGACCCAATTATCGATGCAAGTGGTAACAGAACACCTCCGAATAACTGGGTTAGTAATGAAAATCTATTTGAAAATTATTCTAGCGCCACGTCGGTATAAAGAGCAACAGAAAACAGTGAAAAAAATTACATTAATCAAAAATAATTTAAGAATTATAATTATGTCAGGAAATTTCATTAAGAATATTTTGAAAAAAAAGTTATTAATTAATTTAGGTTCCTCCCCCAAAAAAATATTGGTATTTAAAAATTAATCAACCTGACTTAAATAAACGTTTTTTCCATGAAAATTTGTCTAAAAATTAGATTTATAAATAGGATATTTTAAATTTTGAATTTTTCCAAAAAAAATTTTCATTAATAAAATGTAATTTTTGGGAAACAAAAAAATTTTTTAGATATTGATTCGAATAAAACTTATTTCACTCGTCAGGTGTGTCTGTTATATCCTGTATACTTTTAACTCGGTCTTAACAGTATGATTGGTATTTTTTATAAAATCGTCGTATATTAAACATAATATTGTTCTTTTCACTTTTGTGTGATTATTGCAGTTGGGAGTTTTCAATACTGGGTCTGCCTGGCAGTGGAACGAAGAACGTCAACAATACTATTACCACGCTTTTCAAGTAAAACAACCAGACTTGAACTACAGATGTCCAATGGTCGTGGAAGAAATGAAGGTATTTATTCTCAATTTAAATATAGTGTACCTACTTAATATAATATTATACACATAATACTATATAATATTATACACATAATACTATATATAGTAGCAACGATTATACATGATATTATTATGTACATGATCACTGATGATTAAAATATTAATATTATACCTTAAACATGTCTCTAGAACATCATACTATTTTGGCTGGGACGTGGTGTAGACGGATTCAGATTTGACGCTGTCAATTATCTATACGAAAGGGAAGATTTAGAGAATGAATCAAAATCTTACAAAGTCGGCATACCGGACACTGATTACGACTCGTTGATACACAACATGACATTAGATCAACCGGAAACATATGAAATGGTGCGCGTTTGGAGAGAACTGTTAGACGATTATTCGACATCCGAAAAAATAACCAAGTAAGAAAAAAAGTTACTTTCCTGTTATACGAGACTACCTTGTTTTTTGACAACATTACAATCCTGTTGTCTAAGATTACAGCACAATGGTACTTTTCTGTTATACCTTGCAGCTATTATAGCGACTAGGTACCACCCAAGACTGTCTCCGTTATCGCGACTTTTATAAAATTAAAATGTGACCATCCCCATAATTATTGATTATTTTATTTGTGGATCCTACCATTTTTGTTCATAAACGTTTCGAATAATAATAATAATACTAAACGTACACAATATTATATTCTGTAAATTCTCTTCGTATATGAATAATAATATTCGTGCACGTAACTGGCATAATATTAAATATGAACTCGTTTACGACAGCTTCTTTATGGTGGAATGTTACTCACCATTGCTCAACACTATGAAGTACTACGGCAACGCGTCATCTCCTGGAGCTCATTTTCCGTTCAACTTTTTGCTCATCAATGCTTTCAATCAGCAATCCGACGCCTACGATGTGGACAACGTGATTAAATCCTGGATGCTGAACATGCCCGAAGGCCAGTGGCCCAACTGGGTGGTAAGTGTGTGATACTATACATAAACGGTTGTCATTGAAGTGACATTGTACATCACAGGGAGATTATTTTACGAAACGACAATTTTCTCGGTAAATTCGTATAGCAAAATTTGAGGCTATCCTTTCATCTAAACTTAAGTTTAGTAACACTTTTATTTATGGGTTATTAGCAACTACTGGTTTGATAGTTGATTTTTATATACCCTCAAAAAATATTCTGTTTTGAAATTAAAAATTTAAAAAAAATTAGAACAATAATAAAGCAGTAAAAAAGACGAGTTTATTGAAAAAATATTTCGTTGTAGGTGCCTAGTTAATAACTTAAAAATATTTTCAAAATCATTTATTTTAACAAGTAAACAACACTCTGTCGCTTCGTCAGATTAAACCTGTATTATAATAATGTCGTGTAATCCGTAAAATACAAAATATTTATAAAAAAGATACTTGTTGCTACAATCAATCACTCAACGTGGTTGAAAGTAAGTGACGTCCGCTGCCACTAGTTCCCGGATGGGTGACCACCCGGGTTCGTGGTGGCAAAAACATTGTCACACATACAAGTGCTGCTAACCTACCTAACCAACCGTAATAACAATACCGTATCCCCAGTCGGAAAAGCCTTAATCTAATAAAAAATAATAAAAAAGATACTTGAGCGGAGAAAACTGTATTTTGTTCGTTATTTGGGTGTTTAGCTCGGCAATCATGACAATTCACGATTAGCGTCCAGAACGAACCCGTTGTTGGTGGACGGCCTACACATGACTCAACTCCTACTTCCGGGAACCCCGATCACGTACTACGGTGACGAGATGGGTGTCCAAGACACGTATGTCCGATGGAGCCAGACCGTGGATCCGGCCGGACGTAACGTCGGCATATCGCGGTACACGAAATTCAGTCGAGATCCCGCCAGAAGCCCGTTTCCCTGGGATGACTCTGTGAACGCCGGTATAATATTTTATTATTATTGGCTTATTATTGAATCCGCCTCGACACGATCGATACTTAAATATAATAGAACGTTTCCATCACAGGTTTCACCAACGGAACGAATGGAACGTGGCTTCCTGTCAACCCGGACTATTGGCACGAAAACTTGGTTCAGTTGTCCAAGTTTAAGAGTCACCTTAAGACGTACAGACAATTGTCGCGGTTGAGACAGAACCCCACAATCATTAAAGGAGACTTGCACGTATACGTGCTGTCTAAATGGGTGTTCGGTTTTTCGAGGTAAGTTAGATTGATATGGGACCCGTGGCCATTATTATTAATAATAATATATCCATTATCCATGTATTATAAACGACGTACTACCATCCAGTTGCCTATCGATGTCCGTTGTGGCTCCTAAATTGTGTTTTGATAAGACTTGTGCATATTTTGTTCCAATCATTCGAGATACCTAGTTATAGCTTTCTAATAAGTTATTTGTGATTACACTAAATTACTGAACTTTACTAAAGTTAACTTTTTTCTTTTCTAAAAGATTTATCAATAATATCCATTTGTAGTTGGTACTCATATAAAAACATTAAATAGGAACTACGCAAAAATTTAATCGGTAAAACAAATGGTCATGAATACACGTTTGCATTTGTTTTTGCTTAAAATTATATTATATAATTACAGTTTTATAACCATATTATTATAGAAAGATACATAGATATATAAAACATTTTTTTTGCTTTAACTTTGCATTATTTTAGAAAATAACTTCAATATAATGGTTTATGACAATGCTAAAAAAATTCTGGACCCTTAAATTTGAAATATTTTAGCTTGAAAGTAGAAAACATTATTTTTATACCCGATAACTTAAAGGCTAAAGTCACCAATAAACCTAACTTTATCATCAAGTGTTATATATTCACGGTTACGATTGTCACAAATATGCAACTAAAATGATATAATGTCAAGTAAATTTGAGTACCTAACTAGAAGATAACCTATTAGGTACAAAGTAAATTGTCAACACAAAAATAACATTTAGGTACCTAGATTAATAAAAAAATCCATTGAATTAGTGAACCAAAAATGATAATTTCTGGAAAAAATGAGACAGAACTTAATTAATAGAGAGTTGATAAATTACCTACCTATGTTATATATTATAGCATATACTTAATGTACAATATATTCATATATAATATTCTGTACAAGTTACACGTTTTTGTGATTTACTAATTTTAGGAGTTTTTATGATCATCCAACTTTCTTCGTCGTCATTAACTTCGGCAGTGAATTGGAAACAGTTAATATAAAAGAAGTTAGACAAACGTTACCAAAAACATTAAAAGTCAAAGTTTCAAGTGTAAACTCGGGTTATGTAACTGGGTAAGTTTAAAACATTTTAATATGATAGTTTTCTGCTAAGAATTCAAAATGACAACATACCCATTTTGAATACAATCATTGATGTAATTATTATTTTGTTTATAGTAATATAGTAAATTCAACTACTTTATATTTGAGACCAAAAGCAGCTCTTGTTCTCTCAACAGCAAAACCTAATGAAGACAATTAAAAATGACTCATTAATATATAGAAGAAAGTATACAAGTTTAAGTACAAATTAAAATATAATTGTTTTTGAAACTTAATGCATAGTTTTTTTTATACTCTATTTGTATACATATTTTATTAATTTCATACCATACATACCTATAACAATAATAGTGGTATTTTTCAACATTAATGTATTGCTGAACAACAAAAATTCAAAAGTGTTCAAGATTTTCTTAAATACTTTATTATAAACTTATTGATGCAAACAATGTTTCAGAATACAATTATAAACGGCGGTGCATTCAGGTTAATTTTCGTAATGTTATTGTAATTTGTAAAAATAAATTAAAGCGTATTAAATAATTGTTTTTGTTATTTTTGTGTAATAAACAAAACTCATCTAGAGTGCAAGTCCCTTATACATATCATAGGAAATTTTGATGCAAGAGTTACCGAGATATCTACATATTATGATAAATTCTATGATTGAACAAAATATGACGTAATTTATTTTAAACATTATCAAAAAATAGGATGCATTAGATGAGAGCGGCAGGTACATCTTTAATAAATTCCAACATTATAACTCTAGTTATTATTTATTAAAAAATACAAATACAGTTAAAAGTCACTCATTATAGATAATAATATGATATTAAAATGTTCATTTCAATATTATAAATTTCAAATAATACGACATTTAGTAAACATGTACAGCGCACTTTTGTAAAAAAAAAGTTTGTACTCAGCGTTTATTTTGTGTTAATTTAATTTTAGATTATTATATTTAATTTTATATTTCTATCGAAGATTTCGGAAATATTGAGAAAATATTTCTTTAAAAATATATGATAATATGTATCACTTCATTCTAATATACAATTATTATACAATTAATAAGTAATTTTAATTCGATTTTTATTTCATAATTGAACTAAAACATATCGGCTATCTTAGTGGCCAACCTTGTATAGTAAAATTAATAATAGGTAAGTATATCTTATAAAACGATAAAATATACGTACATTGTTCGTATAATATAACATGATATATCTAAACCTTTAATATGTTCATTCATAACAATACAATCTCATATTAACTTGTAATTCTTATACTCCAGTTCGAGTTCAGTACAAATATATTATAGATAAGAATTTTTTAACTGTATAAAACACTTGATAACAATAATTTTTAATCACATGCAAATGACACTACAATAAATTTACATTGATGTCATACGTATAATGTATGTCGTAAAATCAACCAACACAATTATTTTGAATTATTAAGACCAAATATAATTTTATTTTTTTTGTAGGATAGTTCAGTTTTTAAAAGGTAGCTTTCGAAATTTTGTTTCAAAAACAAACTTTTACTACCTGACCAGTAAGTGCATTGCTTTTTGTAGGTACTCCAAACAAACGATAATTAATGAACAACACTATCAAATGTCTATACTTACTCTGTAAAATATATTGAACACTAAATATTTTTGATTAGTACTTATTGGGAATAAAAGAAGTACCAAAAATGGGCCTGTTTACGCCGTTTGTTTTAGAAAGTTATAAATGTTTGTTAAAGCACATTATTTATTATTATTGTAATACAAATTAATTTATTAAATTAAAATATATTAACAATTAATACAATACGGAATTTAATGTTTATAAAAAAAAATCTTATTAAAATTTGATGCAATATTAAGCAAAAAAATAATAACATTTATATTTACCCATTATTCAATTAAATATTATATGTGATAATATTATTATATATTATTCTCGTATCCAAATTTTTTATTTCATAACTTAAATAAAATGTTACTTATTTTTACTAGATGATAAAAACATTGGTATCTTTGTACATTATGCATTTATGCGGTTATCGTAGTAGTTATTTTTTAATTTTTTTAGGGCACGATTACGTCATTGAAAATGTTCAATAGGTATAATATTATTCATAATGTACCTAATATTTACTTTTAAAGACAATAGTCGATAAGGATGTCGTAACATACGAATTAAATGGTTATTTTATTTGAGTAAAAATTATAAGAAGCGTATGCTTATATAACTGAACACAAAAACATAATATATAAAAAAAAAAAACATTTGAAGTATATTGAATACTCTAATTATTTTATTGTTCGATGTTAACAAATTAGTAATCAATGAATGTCATGTTTACTAGTTATCCACTTACTTGAAACATAATATTCTTACATTATTCATATTTCATATCGATAAAACATTTAATTTAAAGATCAAAAATGTATTACTAAAATGAATTAAGTTACTGACATGATGCTATCATACAAATCCTTGATTTTTACACTTATTTTGCTTCATTCCCCTCAACTCAAACCATTATATTTTGTGTTGTAATTTTAAACTCAAAAATAGATATGAAGATAATTTAATGCGTTCTCATCAAGGATTTAAAAAATAGCTTTTTCAGTATTTAATTCGTTACACAGTCATTAAGTATAATTTAATTGACCATATTGTATTAAATAATAATATCCAAAACTTATTAAAAATAATCGAAATCAAAAAGATTACATTTTCCTACATATCTTGAAATACAATTTCAATATTATCATGTATTACATAAACGTCATTGTTTCAAAATCAAAATTGTCCACTGTTTTTTTATTTAAACTATTATTGACTTTAAATTTATAAAACAAATCTATCATGTAGGTACTTATAATTTTTTCAAAAACTATTTATGTTCCTTCATACACCAATTATAGGTGTATAATAATATATACAATAAGTTTTTTTTTTCGTTCAAATATTTAATATTTATTTTTTTTTTATTATGCATAAATTTAAATGTAACTCTAATAATATTATTTTTATATTAAACTTGTACTTAACTGATAAGTATAGTAAAGATATATAAAGTGATTAAGCCATGTGTTTAATAAGGGGTTTTAAATAGGCAATTTTAAGACAGTGTTAGCAATTGAAATTCATTTACAAAATAATATTGTAAGTTGTCTAATATCAGTGCATCGTAAGGTAATGTACCTACAATTACTAAATGATGTACAAAAATTATTTTGAAAAATTTAAAGTTATATTCAATAATTAATATTTATACTAAAATAATCTTATTATTATTGTAAATAAACAATAACTGCAGTTCTGTCGTTTTATTTATTGAATAACTTAACTCAATATTTGTACAGTACCTATATAATATGAACAACCACATCACTTCATAATTATAGTTATTGAAAATCTATTCTATATTGTATGGATTTTTTTTTTATAATTTATCAATATCAATGTAATAAAAAATAAATGATTTTTGTTAGGTAATTATTTTAAAGCAGACAACACAATAGGTACATCGACAACTATATAACTCGTAAACAAAACATGTAATACAGTTCGAAAATATGTGCAAGATAATATTGTAACCTCTAAGTGTTGTCTTCTTCATAGGAAACAACTTCAGCGAACAGTCGCTATATAGTGCCTCAACATTTTTAAGTACAACAGTAAATTATTAATAATAATAATAATAATAATAATAATAATAATAAAAATATTAATATAACAATTCCATTTTTTTTTTCGATCACCAGACTATATGAAAATCAAACAGTTACTTTGTTTACTTTTTTAATACACCCGTTTTACGGATTAAACTGCTTAATGCGAGCGGCTCTCGAGTGCTCTGATTGTGCGTTAGCTAAAAAGATAGGACCCCGGCCACTTACAAAAAATGACGTGCAGATAAAATCCGTAAAAATGTAATATATCATAGCCAAGTGCATAAATAGGCCACGATCGTTTGTGGGTTCGACATTACGGGTGTGTTGTACACTCGACAAGCAACAAGACCGCTCAGCCAACATGTTTAAGGCAATCACGGCGTGCATGTGGCTATTCGCCTTCAACAGTCTTGTGTCGTCCGAGTACGTTTATGAGGGTTTGCCGAGCGATTCGGTCGAACCAGACTGGTGGCAGAAGGAAATTATCTATCAAATATACGTAAGATCGTTTAAAGACAGCGATGGTGACGGAATCGGAGACCTGAACGGTGAGTACCTACGTCTTGACAATCCAGACGCAATCATTGACTGGTGTAATATTTTATTTTTATTTTTTTAAATTATTATCGCCAAAGTACCTGTGTAGGTATAATGACTATCAAGCATATAAACTAAAAGCTATTATATAAGTAGTTATGATTTGTACAATATTGGTTTAATTTATTTACAGTGGTGTTGATTTCATAATTATTTATACTCACAATTTTAACTATATTATTACAATTTAAAAGTTGATTATTTACTTTTAAAATCAAATACCTCATTAATAGATTGATTATGATACTATAAAACTAAAAAAAAACACTACATTTTACATTTTACATAAAGAATTATGAACTAGATGTCCAAAAAAAAATGTAAAGTTATAAATAATTCGACTATTAAAATAATACATTTAAAAATATTCCCAAAATTGTATTCACATCAATAAATGAACATGTTTGTGTAATTATTTCAATGTAAAATATTATTCATTTCAGTATTATAGTTTGAAATAGATTGTTATTTTTTTCTTATAATGCATTTATTTTTATTTTATTCTCATCCCTAACAAACGACAATGATTAAATAAAATATTTACACTGTTATAGAAATTTAGAAGTGATTTAGATTATATTCTACCAACAACGAGAAATCATTTGATATTGAATCAACAAAGTCATAACGTAGGAGGGTACTTAATAAGTAATTGCATGTAAAAAATAAAGAAAACTGCCAGGTTTGAAAAGTGCTAGAGTAAAACAATTTGAGTATAAGTATTCAAATACTTTTTAAGTACTCAAATCCATATTTAAAATATTTTTGAAAAAGTTACTTGAACAGATTTATTTTTAGTTCTTTCTCAAATTATCTACATTTGAAAATACTAATTTTTGAATTGTTTTTTTATAAATTAATATATTATATGATTTAACAATTGTTTTAATGGAATAACATTAATAACTTTTCATTATTCATACTCATTCAACATACACGTTATGACATTTTATTTTATCTTTTATAGGTATAACAGAAAAAGTCCCATATTTTAAAACTATAGATGTGGGCGCCGTTTGGTTGTCACCAATATTCCTCTCTCCACAAAATGATTTTGGATACGATGTATCAGACTACAAAGAGATCGATCCTATTTATGGCTCAATGGCAGACTTTGAACGGATGAGGGACGAGTTTCACAAGCATGGTATGTGGACTCATTATAAAAGGTTTTTTTTTTTAAATTGAGTACTATATTGTTGATTCTCACACATAGGCATAAAGATCTTATTGGACTTTGTGCCTAATCACACGAGTGACGAACACGAATGGTTCCAAAAATCAGTTAAGAAAATAGAGCCCTTTTCCGACTATTACGTATGGAAAGATCCGATCCGTGATGCATATGGAAATGTCACTCCTCCGAGTAATTGGGTTAGTAATACAGATATTTTACATTTTTACTTATTATACACTATAAATTCATAGGTAGCACAGATTCACTATTATAATATTATGTGTCATATTTGAAAGCAGAGAAATTACAGAATATATGAACGGATTTCCTTCTAAATATTGTTTTTTAATTTCAATACAGTGCTTTTAACGGTTCTTTTATAAAATAAAAATATCATTATATTTCCTCCAAAGTTCTTGATTCAAGGCATACACTCTTCCACCACATTATGAATAGTTTCACTAACGTCTACAAATCTATTTGTACCTACGTAAATAAGCCAACATACATCAGTTTGATTTTTTTATCTAAAATATTTGACCATAATTTTGTGTAAGTACCATTTTTTCATAGGACTTCCCTAATTTATTTGTAAAAATAAGTTGCCTTTACTCATTAGACAAGAACTAATTGATAGGCAAACTTCAGTTATTTTCTATGATTTTTAATTTTAAATCTAATTTTACTCTAGAGTAAAAACTGAGATGAATAAAATGTTATAAAAAACACACGATCCTCCGATCTTCCTTCATTAAATTTACTTCTCATTGAACGTTGTATATTTTCGTACAGGTGGATTGTAAATATTCTTATTTTAAAAAAAATAAAAAATAAGTATAATGTGTATTATAATGAAAACTAAGTGGTAAATTTATGTTTTGCGAATCAGTTTAAAACTAAAGTTATTTTGTAGTGTTAAATTTATAAAATAATATCTTAATGCATATTAAATTTCAGTGAGTATTTCATTTTAAAATTGGTCAAACAATGCTAATTATGTCAAAACTTTATATACCTATGTAAAGTTTATTATGCTAAACTAACTTTGAAATGCACTTTGAATCTAAGTACCTATATAGTATATAGGTATTGGTATTCACTGTGGAGTTCAGTTAAAACTTAAAACTGATTTTATAACTGAAGTGTGTGTCAAAAACAATAAAATATTAAAATGTAATCACTGAATATATAAGTAGGTATAAGGTATTTTTATAAATGTATATTGTATAATCCTAATTCCTACTAATATTATAAACGAGAAAGTTTGTGACTTTGTTACTCTTTCACGTAAAATCTACTAGACCGATCTTGATGAAATTTTTACACTGGGTGTATTTTGTTCCAACTTAAAACATAGGCTAATTTAAAAAGGGAGATTACCAACCCCGGGAGGTGCTCAAACGGGAATTTTGAGATTTCAGATGGAAAGTTTTGTTTATAAATGGTTGCCATGGGTTTTTATAAAAAAAAATATTCGATTAATTTTTAAATATAAATTATATTTAATGGGATTAAATAAATTGATTATTTTAATCAACCGTAGGTGGAATTAAGTAAAAACGACAAACTTGGTATAACTTTGATACTTTAGAGTTAAAACATACACTTACGTAAAAACAGCAAGGTAGATTGCCTATCTCATAATGTACTGCTGCGATTCAGAATTTTAATTTCGGGCAACAGAAAAGTTAAGATAAATTTTGAACACTGTACACCGAATATTAAATAACGAATTGAAAAAAGTTTGAGTCATATAGGGTTGATACATTTAACACGGGCAACGAAGTTCACGGGATCAGCTAGTATATTATTTACAATTCGTTGAACAGTATTTATAGTATTTTATACTTACACATATTGTTTCATTATAGTACAGTAGTAATTAGTAAATAATAGAATAAATATAAAATAACACTTTATTAATAATATTCACACATGAAATAAAACGAAAAATGCGTTGTAGTTTTGTACATTAATTGTACCTATATTAATGATATAATATAATAATGAGATGTTTAAACTATTAAGATCACACAATGCCAGGACACAATATAAAATAGGTCATAAGCCACCATATCTCGTAATTATTATTATTAAGCTCATCCTAGATCCCGTAAGCTTGTAAATGAAAAGAAAAGAAAACTTCCTTGAATATATAAAACTACTAGATAAAGTATAACAATATTTTAACTGTAAATAACTGAATAATTGCATTGGTCACCAGTTAATGTTTTTCATTATAACTTGTGTCTTTTTTATACATACGTCAAAAAAAAAAAAAAATAATAATAGAATTTTGAAAAACAATTATGAAATAAAATATTAATGACTACTTATTTTAATATCTATCAATTTGAACACGATTATTATATAAGGTTTTGTTGATTTCCAGTTGGGTGTGTTCAACAGTGGATCTGCGTGGGAATGGAATGAAGAACGTCAACAATATTATTTACATCAGTTCCAAGTGAAACAACCTGACTTGAACTACAGAAATCCGTCGGTTAGAGAAGAAATAAAGGTACCTAGTACACCAGTGAAGTTAAAAAAAACAATCATTTCGTCGTTGATTAATAATTAAAACGAACAATTTTATTTTCCAAGAACACGTTGTTATATTGGTTGGGACGTGGCGTCGACGGGTTCAGATTCGACGCGGTGAACTATCTATTCGAAAGAGAAGATCTAGCTGACGAACCTAAGTCTAATAAAATTGGCTATTTGGACACCGATTACGATTCTTTGACTCACACTAGCACACTTGATCAACCTGAAACTTATTCCATCGTTCGTCAATGGAGGCAGATGCTGGACAGTTACAGGACTAGGGAAAAGAAAACCAAGTAATTAAAAATAGTAGAAACATAATAATATTTATGTAAAGGTGTGTAGCCACGTCATGGTAGTGTTGGCAGTCACCACTCACCACTCACCACAAATTATTGATACTATTAGAGTATTAAAGATCAATAATGGTGAATGTCTGCATTCGTTACAAATAGCCAATAGGTATTAAGCACTATAATATAGTATATAATATGCAGACATATCACATATCCTGGTCTTTGTTGACATGTGCAATAATTAATAAGTATTTGAGGAATGTGGAAAAATCGTTATTTTTCGATTAAATATTTGATATTGTCAGATTATAATTACATTTTTGACTATAGCTCAAAGTTAGATATTATGGTATTTTTATTTAGAATTACTGAAGTTACTTTAGTTGTTTACTCTAAGTTTACGTCCACGTCTGACAGAGACATATAAAACACACCATTATAAAATCAAGACATTCATCTCTCCAGTCAGAATCTAAAACACACAATAATATAGTACATAATAATTTTTATTGATTTACATTTAATTATAATATACTTTTAATAATTACACCTCGAAAACTTCATAATGTACCAATAGTAAAACACGCATTACTTATTAGATTTCGATATTCCAAATTTATTATTTATTTAATATTATATTTATTGATTATTGATTATATTATATAATTTATATATTTTACACTGGTATATCGAATGTTTATTTACGGTTCATCAAAACGGTGTTTTTTAGATTTATGATGGTGGAATGTTACTCACCATTTGATAAAACTTTGTTGTACTACGGTACTAATTCAGAACCTGGCGCTCATTTTCCATTTAACTTTTTATTCATCGGAACATTCGATCAACAGTCCGATGCTGCTAAGGTCCATAACATGATCAAATCATGGATTCGTGGTATGCCCACCGGCATGTGGCCCAACTGGGTGGTGAGTAGAACAATAATTGATAGATAAACCTACTATAAATACGTCTTATTTGAACAGTAATATTATTGATGGAACATTATTATGACCTTCAGTTAGGTAACCACGATAACGCAAGAATGGCCTCGAGGAGCAATCCAATGTTAGTTGATGGACTACACATGATCCAACACCTGTTGCCCGGCACCTCGGTGACTTATTACGGAGACGAACTGGGTCTGATCGACACAAACGTTCGTTGGGACCAAACAGTTGATCCAGCTGGGCTTAACGTGGGCCCCTATAGGTTCTTGAAATTCAGCAGAGATCCCGTGAGGACTCCGTTCCCATGGGACAGTTCGTATAACGCAGGTGAATAATTAAGTGAATAATGTGTATAATACTTTTGCAGTATATAGCTTTATAAAATATTAATATGAGTTACCTATTCTAAATCAGAAAAATTCATTGTTACCTATTAACACCCTCGTTATCACGTGCAGGTTTTTCTAATTCGTCTTCGTTGTGGCTTCCTCTGAACGCCGATTATTGGAAAAAAAACATGGCAGAAGAATCGAGGTTTAAAAGTAACCTGAGGTCATACAGGCAATTGGCGCGGTTAAGGAGGAGTCTGACATTTGTCAAAGGCGATTTGCATTTATACACACTGTCCAAATGGGTGTTTGGATTTTCACGGTAAGATTTTCAATAACTGTTGTATACTTGTATTATTGTATCATTCAAATATAAGATATTTCACTATTATCGTTATGAGTATAATATTATTTATTTTATCGTATTATATATTATTAGGTACCTACATACTTTATATAATAGGTAGAAATACTTACTTACTTTTATATTTTAAATCCAGTGTAATTATACATTTTTAATAATTATCTCATAAACTTTAACATAACATTTTTTTCTTGCCAACTCTATAGGTATTATGATTTATTTTACATTTTTACTTTTATTGGAATACTAATATAGTGCCTGAATAACATATTGTACTTATATAAAAAAAAACTGTTTAATATACATTTTTATTTGAAGTTTCATTAGTTAATTAAATATTAATATTTAATTTAGATACATTTAAAGACGAAATGTAGATTAATTAAAAATCATTACATGATACAAGTACCTACAAGTGTACAACGCATTTATTTTCAATTTATAGATCTTCTAAAATTGTTTAACTTGGAAAGATTTTACAAAAACGAATAAGACTAATTTATTGATTTATTTAGGAGTTTTTATGATCACCCGACATACTTCATCGTAGTTAACTTTGGGAGTGAAATAGAAATAGTTAACTTGTTGGAAGCTAGAGGTACATTACCAGTAACTTTGAAAGTTAAGGTCTCTAGTATTAACTCTGGTTTTGTTACAGGGTAAGTAACAACATATTTTACTATTTATAATTAATATAAAATAAGAATTTTAAACTACCTTCTCTGCAATTAAACATATAAATGTTTATAGTTTTACTAAAAATTTAATTTAATTTATTTATTTAATAAGTTATTTATTTGTAATTTTGTTATTGTTCTAGAAATGTATTACGTACTGATAAAGTGTTACTGCGCCCAAAAGCAGCTCTAGTACTTACAACCTCATTAATCAACGAAGATTCATAATCTAATTTACACAATATTTAATATAATATAAGTTGTACAAGATGTATAAAAGGTATATTGTTATAACTTATAAAAATGATTGTTTATAGTATAAAACAATGTTTATATTATAATTCTAATCAGTTGTCAATAAAAATATTTGAAAGTTTTTAATGATATATGTACTTATAATGTATACTGTATAAGAATTTAAGATCATTACCATTAATATTATAATATTATTATTAATGTCAGCTTTTTGACTTTCGATAAAAACGGTGAATTTACTATGGGCAACAGTAATTATAATAAATCTACAAGTGAGATAAAGATATTAATATATTTTAGATTCTGAGTAGAGCTTATAAGAATGTATTGATTACATAATGATGTGTGTTTTTTTTTCTGTCTGTCACCAATATTTTTTGGTAAAAATGCTCAAATTTTCGAGATCAGCATCTTTTCTGATTGAAAAGTGAATTTATTTGGTAGTTTTAGGAGTTCAAAATTGAAAAGTAGTTTAAGAAAGCTTCAAGAAAAACAATAAAAGTTAAAAAAATGGGTAATTTTTATGCAAAACCAATTCTTGAAAAAATCGATTTAATTTTTTTGGTGTTAATCAAAAAGAAATTACTGTAGCCCTTTGAAATTTTCAATAAATATTCATATTAGTATTTTCCATAAATGATAATATTTTCGAAATATTTTGACATTATTTAAGAAATGTACAAACTATTTTTCAATTAGAAGTTTTTCCTTTCATAACTAAGATTATAAGTTTTGATAGAAGTTTCTCAATCGATTTTCCTACCTTAAACAGAAAAAAAAGTTTACCAGAAGGCAGAAAGTATCATTATTTTTTATGAACGTTTGAATTAAAAATTTTTACGATTTTTTTACGGATTTTTATTGGTAAATTAACGTATTTTTATTCATGCATTTTTGATATTTTTTTGTTATTCAAAAACTAATAACCTTAGACAATTAAAATTTTTACCAAACGTTAAAATTACTATTTTCCATACATGAAAATATTTTCAAGCAATTTCGACTCTTTTTGAGCTATTTATAGCCACAAGAAATTTTTTAAATATTTTAAATTATTTTTTGTCACGCCTGCACCAGAAGTTTAGGTTACGATGACGGTTGAAGCGTTGGAAAGCGATCTTTTTCAGTCCAGAGGACATATTATCGGCTGGTTAAGTGGAAATCTCGAAAAGTTCTGGGCACACATATCACGCCCCTGCACAATCAAACACTGAAATCTATCCTACGGTCCTTACAAAACATAAACTTTTGGTTACATCTTATATTCATTAATCATATATTCATATTAAAACCCTTCCATGCATATTTAAAATAAATAAAACCAAATCGTTTCATTCGAGAAATTGTTTTCGTAGAATAGTCTGGTTGTTGTATAGATCCCTGCATTAACTTTTCCATGATCGAACTTAAAATTGAAATCATTATTATTTATAAAAAAAAAATGTTTTTCATAAATTAGGAAAATGTAGTGCCGTTCTTCATGATTTTATTGACAATACATTACCAACAAAAAAAGTATAATATAATAATTCACAACTGGTTTGTTTTTGTGAATCAAATATTATTTATTTTTCATCCAAGTATTAAGGTATTTAAATCTGTAATAATAATATGCGATGAGAAAACCAATTTATTTTAAATAAAATATAAGCGAAATTAATTATATATTTGTAGATTCAAATAAGTTACTCCAAATATATTTATATTAGAATCGGTTATTTCCAACTGTGTAGTTGTCAGTTGGACGGGGTGGTTTGACAATATTTTAACAGAATTACAAGCTTACCAAGATAAAATGCTAAAACTGACATTAAATAAAAATCTAAGTTATCCAACAGAAACACATGTACAATAATCTAATGGTATACTGCCTGTTAAAAAATTACACTATAAAACTATTGCTAAATTTCTAAAAAAAATGTAATATGTTAAATAATTCATCACATAACATCAATAATTAATGTCATCAATACTATTTACCGAGTATACTAAAAACAATTTTCTAGTGAATTTTCAGAATACAAAAATATTAAGAAGACATATTCAAATGGTTGAGACAAAAATAATTAATAAAATACATATTGATATTATAAACCTTTCACTTGGATTATTTAGAGTCCTTCATAAGGTAAATTCATGGGTATTTAATTTGCCACGAACAACGCCTTGCGGGATTAGTTAGTGATATAATATTATAAAAGTGATAAATTGTTGAACTTAATAGATATATATTTCTGATTGTATTTCTATATTTTATTTTTCAGTTACTATTTCTATTAGTTAATGTTATCATGGGTAAATATTGGATTTTTTGCTATTATTTATTATTTTCATAAGATGAATATATATGTATTTATGTAGTCTATAATAGTGTAAAATCTCCTGGGCCCCCCACAAGTTCTCATATTTTGGTCCAGTATTATACGTATGAAAGTCAACCTATATAAATAAATAAATATATTAATTTAATTATTTATAAGTTGAGTGAGAAATTTTCAATTAAATATTTTAAAATATTGAACGATACGTCGATACCTTTGTTTTTTTCTATTTTCGTGTATGAGTACCTACGAACCAATAAATGTGTTACTAATGATCCTATATATTTTGATAATATAGGTTAATATTTTTATACTAGCATATACAATATGGTTGTTGAATATATTGGTGTAGGCATTTTTTTTGTATGTAAGTTTATAGGTTAGGTTAAGTAAGGTAGGTACATATTATTTTAAATATTGAAATGATAAATTCTCAACTAAATAGTCAAAATGATTTTATTATTCATTATTAATATATTTTATAACCATTACGAAATCCATACGTTTAATTATTTTAAATTTACTATAATGATCAACAGTTTAAGTTATGTAGCACATAACACTTGATTAGTTTAATCTTAGACACGAGTTTGATATTTTATAACTGTAATAATAATTTGACTTTTACATAACACAAAAAAGTGTTTGAAATATTGACATAAGATAATACATAGTGATTAAACACCAGCCATAAATTAAGATATAGTTGTGAAGTGGTAGTTAGGTAGGTATAATGCTTACATATGATTTTATTGAGATTAATAAATACAATTTGCCTGTTTGGGATATACCTATATAATGCAAAGACGTTCACAATTTTATGCCAAGGTATCTATTTATTATAATTTATATAATAAAAGTACATAATTAGTGAGAATATACAGGTCTCTAGAGTCTAGAGTCTAAACTTCAGACGACTTTGTATACGAAGATAGTGAGTCCTGAGTGTAGGTATATAACCGGGTAGGTAAAACTCGCATATAGTAGATAATATCATACTTTTATTCGAAAATTACACAACGAAAAACCATGCAAAGAGATAGATTATAATAATTGGTGTAAATAAAATAACTATAAATAACAAACATTTTTAATTTGCCGAACAATAATAAATTATACAAGTTATGATAGTCAACAGATTTCGATATTTTAATATTAGTGTCAAATGTATTGCCTAACTACATTATATTTATACTCATTCGTAGTGGGCCTAGAACTGTTTGATTAATACTATTCTATATTTCTATGGCACATCACGTCTCGTACGATATCAACCTTTTAATTTTCAGACCTATATCTTCAGCCTAATCGCTTATAAGAGTATATTTATAAATATATTTTATATCACCATCAATATACACGTACCTACCAAATCTTCACGAATAATTACGTTGTGACCAACACGGTTCTGTGACGTTCGTAGATATTTTTCATTGCATTATATTTAAAATAAAAAATAAAGTGCCTCTACATCGAATCGCTGCCAGTCGTCGTGGTGTGAGCGTCTCTTTCGGCGACGTGTTTTCTATTGTAAAGTTGTACACGGTGGGCGTGACCAAAGTGGCAGTAGGCACTACCGCTACTGTGTTCGCGTTGAGAAAAAAACGAAAAAGAGGGTCGACGTCGTGGGGTCGACCCACCCTAAATACAATAATTATCGGTTTCCCTTGAGTGTGTATGTGACAGGACAGATCGGCCGATGACGTGCGTGTAGTTATCGTGGAAAAAACACACGCCTTGTTCGACGTTACCGAGGTTTACGTGTGCATTTCTTTTTTGTCGTACCATGTAATTATATACTTACGTTTTATTTTCAATGTTACAGCAGACGACTAGTAGATGTATAGTACACACATGGGCATATTATAATGCGAACACTATACAACGTATGTACCTATATCACATGATAATCATGCGTTATAATATGGTACACATTCCCACAGTATAGAGTGTGGATGTTAATAGTATATTATATTATTGACTATTGTGATTGCATACCGATACGCAAATAAAATCCGTTAAGGGGCACAATAGGCAAAACAAAAAAAACTATGTGTATATATTTAATGTATAAATGCTTTTAGTGTTATCATTTTGAGGGTTTCCTAACTATATACTCGATATGTTGTATAATTAATAAAGAACAATTTGCAAATGGGACTTTTCGTACCTATATAAGAAAGAGTATTATTTAAAAGAAAGTGTTACTAAAGTTTACTGAGGTTTTCGGAATAACGGTTGTCGGACTAACGAGGATTTACTGTAGCTTAAGATAGTGACTATAAATTTTAATAACGTAGATAATAACAAAATTATCATGAAGTAATATTAACTGCGTATAGAAATTACTGACTTCAGCAATAATGGTAGGGAATTAAGATAAAATAGATAATGAAAATCACGTATTCATATTATAGTACGCACTATGGATGCCTATAACGAAGTATAATATAATAAATGTGTCGTTTTCATGATTGTAGATTTGGCTCTCCAAAACAGGCAGAAGCTGATATGTGATAATTAATATTATAGCTAAAAGCTTATAAGTTATAGCGTAGCCAAGTAGGTACACTGCAGCTTTTAGCTAATATTTATACTTTGTATAAGATATGAGCTCATATAATATTGTATCATTAACATAGGTAATTAGAT